CACACACACACACACACACACACACACACACACACACACACACACACACACACACACACACAAGTTGTAACTAGCTTTAGTCCCTGCTACCTGCCTGATAATAATACCCTGGAGGGAATAATTAAGGTCCGTTCAGCTGACTCTCATCTCTGAAGAGATTTACGTTGATTACAGTAAATAAAACAAGCTTTAAATATAGATCTGAGTGAAACTGCATGGAAACAATATGCAGACTCCCAGAGAGCCTCTGCTGCTGTTTTTATTTAAAAAAACTATCAAAGATGCACAAGAAGAGTAAAACAGGACATTTAAAAAATAATTAGAAGTTATTTGTAATCCAACAGTAAAACAATCAATGAGCTGTGAGCTGAACTCAGCTGAACAAATGTCCTGATGCATCTCAGTAATCCAGGCAGAAAAAAATCAAAAAGAAAAAATCTGTAGGTCCTCTGGATGGTTCTTCTTTAGTGAAACGTTTTGTCGTCTGATGAGTTTCAGGTGAACTCAGCCTTATAAGCTCCGCCTCCACATGGTGGACAAACAGGTTAGTCATTTGTAAAAGAGGGCCATCGCCTAACAATAGGCTTGATTAGCTCTATTGTTCATAGAGGGTCATGTGTCCCATCATCTGACTTATCAGAATCARGTTTATTGGCCAAGTATCTTTACACACACACGGAATTTGCAGTTTAGAACATCCGTCCAGAGAGAAACACACAACATGGGAGAACGAATGTCCACGGTCATTCACAACAACGTGCGCTACCTTACAGTTTTGGTTTGGATGCTTTGGCTGTGGTTATTTGGTGTCGTATGAATGCAGGCGGGGCTCGACGTCCCCTTGTTTTTGTCTCTGTTTCCCTCTTTGTGTTGGTATCATTGGGGCCCTGATTCACACATTTTGCTCACAGGGGGCGGAGTCATACTTGCAATAACAGCGTTGTAGGAGGAGGACAACAGGACACGAAGGCCTCCACCTCTGTTTAATGATGGACGGTTTTTCTTCACAAAGATGGCTTCCTTTACTCCTCTCTCAAACCAACGTTCCTCTCTATCAAGGATGAGAACATCTTCATCCCTAAAAGAGTGACCACTGGCCTGTACGTAGATGTGTGTAAACTGCAGAGTCCTGGCCTGATGATGTAGCTCGTCTGTGCTGGCTCATTCTTTAGAACAGTGGCTGTTTTCACTTTCAAAAGAATGAGCCAGCACAGACGAGCTACATCGTCGGGTCAGGACTCTGCAGTTTACACTCATCTACAGGCCAGCTCTTTCAGGGATGAAGATGTTCTCATCCTTGATAGAGAGGAACGCTGGTTTGAGAGAGGAGTAAAGGAAGCCATCTTTGTGAAGAAAAACCGTCCATCATTAAATAGAGTTGGAG